TGTAATTAGCAAGCATATTGTGAGAAGATATTTTGAAGGGCACTTATATTATGTTTTCTATAATTGACCATGATGGGACAGTTTCCTAAAAGACAAATGTACTCATCAGGACCAGCTGATCTATGTTGAGATGTTTAGGTAACCCTGTGCTCTGCTGAAGGGAACCGAGCTATGTATCAATTCATTCAAACTTCCCACTCGGGCAAGGGAGCACTCTGAAATCTTGGACCGAGTTTGGGTTGGGGAGGGCTTCCACCATCCAGAACAGTTGATTTGCGTTCTTTCAGGTGACATCAAAACCAGCTATGGAACCTTGAAGGCTGTGACTAAGGGCAACCCCCTGAGTTAGACATCATTCGCGAGCTTGCCTCCGAAGTCTTAGCTGCTAGGTTTAGGCCTGGTGTCTTAACCTTTATTAACTACTCCGATTTTGAAATTTCTGGTAGCTGGTTACAGCACCCTAAAAGGATACTTCTGAGGAAGTATTCTTAGAACTCCTCAGAGTTTCCTTCCCAGAGTGGAACCGGGTGAACCGCCAACATCTGTTCACCAATCGGTTCCCAATATTGACACCTTAACTATCGCCATTCTTTGACTGACCCTGACGGGCTAAGTCAACTCGGTTGACAAGAGCTCTCCTGAGACATCAGGGTGAACACCCCACGAGTACCAACTCAGAGTCAGGCATACGGTTGGTGGAAATCAGAAAGGCCGCTGCTGCCAAAAAAGCAATCTCCATGTGGCAACCCAAACAGCCTGGGGTGGAGATGAAGCCCGAAGGTTCAGGAAAAGCTAGAAAGAGGAAACACCAGGATGGAAGTGGAACAGAGACAGAGTCTGACGCTTTGGGACAACGTACAAAGACCAAACGCCAGGATGGGACAGAGATGATATTTAAAGAACCTGGCAAGGCCTGGAAGAAGACCCCTCCGGAGCATCAAGACCTAGAGCTTGAGAGAGACCAGTCGGGTAAGGGTCAGGTACAGAAATCCCCGGAAGACGGTCCAAGACAAGCCCTAGAGTACATCAAAGGCCCTCCAGATCAGGCTGAGAGGAAGCCTGCTGATTGTCGCAAGGGGTGTAAGCGTCCCTACTCTGCCCTGGAGGAAAACCGACAAAGCTCCCCAAAGGAAAAGCACGAGAGGTTACTTAAACACCTTAAATGTGTTGAAGACCCACACCCTGACCCACACAGGCCTCAACCAATAACATCCAAGATGAAGGGCAGCGTGTCAGGGCACAGTCATCAAGATCAAGAACCACCTACACCAGACGAGAGAGAGGGCAGATATTCAGAGGACAAGTCCATTACAGAAAAGGAAGGTGGTGTAAAGCATGACGCAAGAAGGGGGAACAACTTGGAGCCTGCCTTACCCGGAACACCAGCTCCAATCATCCTGGATAGTCGCGGAGGCGATAGCTTCCTCCCCAACAGGATGGCAGTACTTGCGGCAGAGAAAAAGCCTGTCAAAAACCTAAAGGGGGGCAAAGAAGTCGATCAAAATTTTCATGTTACAGAAGAGATGGAGAAGGATATTAAGAGGGCGCTAGGTCCAGGACCCCAAGAGGAAATCCTAAGTAATAGATTCAAATTACAAATCACCCGAAGAGATATCCAGACCCTGAAGAACGGTCAATGGCT